ATATAATGTTCATTGCTTCATTGGAATGAGTTTCTTCCTCCTCTCCTTGAAGATTTTTCAAAATGAATATCTGAGAAGGAAGGTGTCAGGCAATAGCTGCTAGAGACAGATTGCATCATGCATCTGTATAGTTGGCTTGTGTTTGAAACAATTATTTACATTAAAAATATTAACAGTAACCACCAAGGCTATTGCTCAGATTATACTACACAGATGGGTCAGTGAAAGCTTAGCGTTTTAAAAGATTATGTAACTCATATTCTGAAACTGTCTTTAGGCTTTCTGTTCGAGTGTGATAGTTTGACTTTTTTAAGCCTTTACTTGACTTTCTCCAGTTGTTTATCAATAATAAAACTATTGTAAAATTGAATGCTTTATTTTTAAAGACAATACAGTATTATGTGTAAGACCTAATAAAAAAAGCAGCAGCAACAACCCAAATAATAGTCAAATTTACAAAGGATGACCCCTGTAAAAAGCAAGCAAATCCTGCACATTTTTCCCAATATTGCCTGAAGGGGTGTGTCTGCCTATACCAAAGTAGCTCATAAATTACTGAAGCGATTTTATTATTATTTTGAGAACACAGCAGTGATTCTAGAGTTAATCTGACTCAAAATGTTTGTCTCAGCAAAGCAATATATCCAAACACAAAAATGACTATAACACAGTCATCTTTATAAATCATGAGCTGAAATTTGTCCTGGTAATGTTTCAGCATTTTCCCCAACAATAGTTAAACCACAATAATCCCCAAATAAAACTTATTATCAGCCCTGTTTGTCTGTTAGCAAATTACATTATGAACCATTTCAATGAAACTCTAAGGAAGAAATACTGGATGTATCTATTAACTTTTTGAACTAAAATAAATTCAAGAGTGACACCACAGCTGTTCAGCCTTTACCAGCACATAAGTGATCAAACTGCAATTCCTATTAAACCTATCAAGCCAAAGTTTGTTACATAAATTTTAGAACAGTAGCCAACTGTAGCGGCTCATGAGCATAAAAAATTAGTGGGGCGGACATTGTTTTCTTAAATCAATAAAAACATAATGTTACAACTTGCGGCATGTTTTCTGTGAAAAAGATAGGTTACGTTACTTTTAATCAGTTATTTGTGCACAAAGTTGTCATTTTTTTTCTCCCTCACCATAGGTTGTCTCATAAAGAAAATAAATTAAAATAAAATAAAAAGGTCCGGGCATTAAATCAGCAAAAAGCCTCCCACCCGGACTTATAATTTAGCTGTTGCAGAAATTGATCAGACAGGTAGCTAGTGCACACAGCTTTCTGGATTAGATTTCTAATAAAATTTTGAGTAGGCATAATATTCTACAAGAAAATTCCAGATTAACAATATTAAATGGGGACAAGACATCTTGTGAAATCATTTTAAAAATGAAAGTTTAAAAAAAAATGGTGAACCATGCATCCTCCATGGACATATGTAGGCTAATCTGATTAAACGGCCATTCGGGGGAAAAAAGTGTCTTGTAAACACTTCATCTGATCGTCTGATCGTGCATGTCTTCTGATTTTCATCCACCTGTTTCTGCTCTTTTATAGAGGCAGAGACAGCAGTGCAATAGTTTCCAGTTTCCAGCAGCACAGAACTTTTCCTCCCGTTTTCTYATCCGATAAACAAGGAAGACTAGCAGGATGCTACATCACCTGTAGCTCAACCAGGGAGCGCACTATCCTCTCCCCCGTTATTCAAACCTGGCACCATGACTGCAGCTCTATATTAGCCTAGCATAAATTTAGCTCAGTAATTCACATACAGTTGCCACAGATTAGGTTAAAAACTGTCCTACCTTCTTGGCAAAAAAAAACACCTGTTCCCTTTTATGTCCTCAGTTCTTGGTGTTCAGTTCAAGCTTGCTCTGTCTTCTCCAAATCCATTTTAAACAGAATATATCCTCTGTTGGACACAAGTTTTGCTGAGAGCTTTTCCTGTGTTTTATGAGCTCACGTTAGTTTTACTGTTTGTATCAATGTGCTAAAACTAGCAGGAAGTGTCCATAGGGCAGGGTTTTTACCGCCCCAAAGAGACTCTAATCAGAGGAGTTGGTAATACCGATTATTGCCAGCAGATTTTAAAACAGATTTTTAAATTTGGTTAGGTGGACATTTTTTTGCAGTGTAGCTTCTGTGTGATTCTTCACTTGAAACAATGCATGTTGTGAGATGATTTGTTTGTTTCATGTTTTGGAGACCCGTTGGTTGGACTGCAGCTGTCACACTGATAGGAAACCCCTGAACTGCTTCTTTTTTTTTTTTTTTTTTTTTTTTGGCTTAGATTGGTTGTCTGTTTAGTTCAATTTGGCTTAGTTTAATTAGTTTGCTTAATGTTTTATTTTGACAGGATTCATTTTCTTTAGCCTACTTCTTTAATTAAACTGTTTATTTTGTTGTTTTCTACAAATGAAACACTTGTGAACGATGTCCGTGTGTCCTCTTCCCTCTTTTTTGTCACAATCCCTGAGCCATATTGTGACATAATGTTGTTGAAAGCTTTCATTTCTCTCTCAATCCTAGGGAGACATTTTACATTTCATGCAATCAGTGTGTTAGATGCAATATATCAGCTTTACATGCACTTATAGTGTACCTCAAAGTTCACATGCAGAACAAATCTTAAAAAATAAAATAAAATACATGTGTGGCTTCTGGCAGTGTGAATGTGGGCTAAATGCACTTTCCATGGTTTTAAACACAACATTTTCCCCCCTTTGTTTTTCAGGCTATGCGGTTGAGCTGCTGAACCGCTCTATGATTAGCCTTCAGGAAACTTTCTCGTCAACGTGGGGCTATGTGTACTTCGAGAATTCCCAGGTTTTCTCTGACCTATACCAGGATTTGTCAGACTACTACAAAGGTTCTACTACCAATGTCAACCTGGAAGAGGTGCTGAATGAATTTTGGGCCAAGCTGATGGAGAAACTCTTTTATGTGGCAAACAAGCAGAGTTCAATAGGTATGACTGTGTAATATCAAATAATGGAATCAAGTTAAATCATAACTAAATGTTTTTTTTTATTGTTTTTTGACTTAAAATATTTTTAGATGGTAAAATGTGTTGGTGTTATAAAACTGTTATTGAACTCCATTTCCAAACTCTAATAGATTTTTACTTGGGATGGCATTTGATCCTCCCATAGCTGTTTAGTGGAAAACTACAAGTTTGACAGAATGTATTGTCATTTTAAGTCTGTCTTTTGGCATGCCTGTTTCTCCAGGTTTTAAGTGTAAAAAGTAGAACATTTCTGTTTTTTTTTTATTAACTTGTAATTTAGTACAGTTGCCTTGGGGGAGCTCAAAAATAAACCAGACACTCTTTATTTAAAATATCTCTGTTTCATTGCACAGCTTGACAGCACTTCACAGCAACATGGCAACAGGAACTCCCTCGTGGCTCTGATGGGCTAATCACAACTCTCCTACTATGCTCACTGGATTAACATTGGATTGATTGGGTTTTCATTTTCAAATTGCTTTTCTTATGCGTCATCATGCAAAAAAAAAACTTGAAAATTAGTTAATTTGATGGAGACAGAAGACAAATTGAGCTCATGAGCATTTCCCTCCTCTAGTTTTGAAACCATGTCTCTGAACTGTTTTTTTAAGTGATCGTCACTTAAATCACATTCAAATAAAACATATTTTTTATTATTAGAGTTGTTTTCCTAAAAACAAAAATAATCTCCTATTAAATGTGTCTGCTCATTGCAGGTGAAGACTACCTGGATTGTGTGTCAAAGCAATTAGAAACTCTGCGACCTTTTGGAGATACGTCCCATAAAATGACAATACAGGTCACACATACGTTTGTGGCAGCACGCTCATTTCTTCAGGGACTGGTGATCAGCGAAGACGTGGTGCGCAGAGTGTCACAGGTAAGATCCCGCCTCTTGCCCTTACAGGTATTTTGTGTTTGTCACCTGAAAATATAGCCATGTTTTCCTGTTTGCAGTGATTGGATTCACTGTTTTTGACAAACATTCAAATTGCTGCAGTGCATTTTAATTTTTATTATTTTTTATATATTTTTTTCCCTTCTGGTATCCAATTTACTGCGGCGCCAATAGCCTATACACCTTTGATATTTTCAGCAATGTTACTGTGCTAACGGGCATGCATTTTATCTCCCCACTGATCAACATCTCCCTTTGATGTAAACATTTAAGCACACACACACACACACACACACACACACACACACACACACACACACACACACACACACACACACACAC